TGGTTTTCCAGAAAACCGGGTCTTCAAGAGCCCTCCGCAGAAACCCATTTAGGCTTTTTGTCAGCTCGATGCCCTCTATCAAATGAGGTATGAACGAAGGAAAACGGAGGGTATCACCTCAGGTGGTTCCCTCGTTAGGGGAAAGATAGTGTATTCTAGCTTTCTCTTCTAACTGAATAAGAATATTTCATATACCGGTCGATTCAGCAAGGCTTACTCTATCTTTATATATGTTTAGTGTATTATGTGCACATATAGAAAATGTGTTTTCGAAGGTTTCCATATGTAATGTCATTGTGGGAAAAATTCGTTTACAAGCCTAGCTCCACACAGAATGACTCTCTGATGACTGGGTGGAATCAGAGAAGTTCATAGGGTTTCTCATCTATACTGGTTTCAGCGTGAGCATTGTTTTGAATTCAGAAATATGTTTAGACCTCTAGAGATTTTTGCTTTATATATTTATATCAGAGTACCAACCTTATACATAAAAAAAGAAAAAAACTCCAGATGTCTTAGTTAGGCCCCCAGCGACCGCCGACCGAAGGGGGGCGTGAGCACTGTGTTCGATTTAAAAGTCACCAAAGGTCGTTCGCTTGCGCAGATCCAAGTTAATAAAGTCAACGGACCGAGCGAGTGGAGACGAGCGTTACCTTGTTCTTCAGTTCTTCTAAAATACTTTTCCCGTTGACTTTAGTTTAAGATGTTACAAAATGGTTGTCTGTTTGTCTGTGCGCAAAATACGGAAAAATGGCCAACAGGCATGGATATTCCGTAGATAGGCCAACAATAAGGGAGAAATAGAAAATTATAGAAAATTTTTTTTAACTACGAGAGTGAAAATATTCAAAGAGATGACTTGAAACACTTTCTGATGCAGAGAAGGAAAAGCTAAGCTAACTTTTTCTGCAGTTCAGAGATAGATGCCGCGAGAAATCAGTTAACTTTGATAACATAAAAAGTCGTCTACGGATAATGAAACTTACAGTATATAGATAATATATCATAAAGCCACAGCTCTTTACGGTATGGAAATTTTTTGAATTCATCTACCCGGACTGGACTGGACTTAAACTTTCAAGAACTTATTCGCGTTTGAAAAGAAACTTGATTAGAAATTTTGCTTCTCTTTTTCTTTCCCGGACATACTGCAAAGATGATCCCTAAACATCATGTTCTTTTTAAATCGCTGGTACTAAATCAAAACGACTTAGTAAGATACGAACGAAAAGGAAATAATTCCACTTAATATTTTCAAACATATAATATGTTGAAAAATATCAAACTGGGGTTTTATTCTGAGAAAAAAACCTTTTTGGTACTGTAAAATACAACACACCGATGCCAGAAAGAATGTTAAAAACTCGCATCGATGCGCATCGAGGCCCGGTAGAAATAGATTGGCTATTATGTCATGATTACATGTGTTTAGTACGCATCTATGAATGAATACGCCAGCCCTGTAGTGTTAGCCATTTCACACAATGCTGGCATCGCTGCTATAAAATACAAATCCAACTTCACTAGGACGCTCGAGCTCACGGTCAATGAACGCCGACTTGTTTTAGCGTTCACGTTTAGAGAAAACGCTGAAAAAGAGCGATGAACGTTTTGAGGCCTAAATTAAGGTGCAACAAACATCAAAGTATTCATTTTTTTGAAGTTTAGAAACCCAACTCTTTTTTGTAAAACCGTCCTTACACATATCGCATTTCACTGCGAAAGTTTTAGTCTTTAGAGCAAACAATTCAGTGCAACCCAAGCAAAAAAAATGGAGCTAGAATCGGGCGGTTGGAGCTAGGTAACACGGTTTTCGGAGTATTTGTAAACTACGCTCCCACTCACCCCCACTCCCAAACTAAATTTTAATTACATTGTTGGATAGAGGATGCCGAGTTGTCTTCACACCCACCCATATTTTTTTCTTTCTTAGCTTTGCTGGAGTACGGGGTAGTTGGGAGATATTCGTAAACGACACACCCATCCACACCCAGCCAAAATCCATTCACACACGCATACAAACTAACCTCAAGTCATATGGTTCGATAGAGGATGATGAGTTGTCCTCATGCCTCCCACATCTCATCCAGAAATTGCTTCTAAAGAAACAAAAGGTTAGCTTTTTTTGTATTATGATAGCATATTATTCTATATTGTCTAGTTACCTTTAAGTGATTAATGATAGTGATGATATCGTTCATCTATACACATATTCAGAGTCTTTAAAGTCAGCTGATGATGAATCATTGACAATGTGTCTGTCTATTTATCACTAATGAACTATAAATATGAACACTTTAATACAATGAAACAAAAAGCTAAACAGATATGTAATGTCAATAATTGAGATAAAGCATAACCCCCCCCCCGGAAAAAAGGGCCTGGCCGTTATCAAGGGGGGGGCCCCTGCTNTCTGAAATTTAGAATGTCCTATGTTTCAATAAGTTTCATTTTTATTTATGTTTTTCATACTAGAGACAATTTTTTTTTCGTATTAGAAACTAGTTTTTTTTCCACATATCTAGTAGAGTCTTTTGCTTTGTACTCCTGTCAAGATTTCGATTGTGCTGTTCTGTGGCTTTACGAGCTTCTTCTTCAATACGTTGATCATCGGCTATATTTGGATCTTTGTTGGTCGAATAATCGACACTGGTTGGATCAAAACAATAGCCTGGTATGCTTGGAGGTCGTACCAGACTGTTATCCTTCCACACGTATCCCAGTTCAAGAAATGACGCCATTGGATCAATACTGTTCAGTGTGCGAGACCATGCTGATGACACGAGTCGAGTGCACAATATCCGCGATTGTGCTGCAGTTAATTTGATTTTCGATCGACCACCGTCTTTTCAATCCATTCTTCGGCACATTCGTAGTGATGGTGTTTGAATGTAGAAAATACATGAACATCCAGTGATTGGATGTACATGGTACAACCTTTCGGAATTACAGCAACAACGACTCGTTGTTTGCGCATGAGACGAATTGTCTCTTCATTTAAATGAGTAGACGATGAATCCGTAATAAACAACTTTGGTTGTCCATCGTTCACTTTTGAGTACCACCAGCTAATATACTTGTCCATTGTTCTGAAAGTATAAAATATGACAGCATATTTTTGATGAGGAAGAGAAGTGTCTTGTGTGAACAACTTACGATCGGTTATTGAATGCTTTTGGTGTGAAGAACACTTTGACATTAGATGCATATTGCATCTTCTCGTTGTCCCTCACCCGACCTTTTCCTTTGAACAAGACAACTGGAGCCACACGAGTGTTATCTTCAGCAAATACTGTTAGTATGACAGTACAAAATCGTTTGTCTGGTATGTGACCTTCAATTTCATTTACTGTGTTCACATCATTGATTGATAATTTTGTTTGGTCACCGAGTAAACTAAGAGGACTTTCGTCCATGTTTACCACGTCACGAGGTAAGAAGGCACCCATAGCATCACGTTTTGGAGCCCATGTACTAGCACGCCTGATATATGTATGAAATGAATTGACAAGTAGATGAGCCTCATTGAGTGGCACCTTTTGTTGTCTTTTTGGTTTTTGCAGGGAGAGACGATGGCGGCGCATGAATCGACCATACCACTTCGTCGATGGTGGATGCTCATGCTTGAGTTCGATACAAAGTTGTTTGCCACGTCGTTGTAATTGTT